AAAACAAACTAAATTCACTTTAGTCCTTTGCGTTATTATACAAGGGCGGTCACTGTTACACCAATCACCATTCTATTTATTTTCTATTCCCACCAATCTGCCTCACTCACACACATAATTCTTCCAGTCACTCCCTCCTTTTCATTCCTCCCCTCGATATTAGCACCTTACTTGCAAATGACTTCCTGCTAACTTTCAATAAATCCTTCTTAACCGGCGCGAACGTAACGGTCTAACGACCACGGCCCGGCTTTGATGTTCATCTGGCCGGTCCGCTTGGCCGGCGCATCCTCCCACCTCCCCCTCCCCCACCCTCGCCGTAAACGACCACGGCTAATTTTATAATAGCCAGCAATCATTAGTGCTTCGATTGTTTTCAGAGGAAAGTATTGCTTTTGTGTTGGCGAATGGCGAGGGACGGACAATACTCTCGATGCCGCAATATTTAGAATTTTTTTTTCCCCACCTTCTTTTCTTTGACGTTCGCACAATTTAAAACCCTTTCTCGTCGCATCCCCAAGTTGCTCATAACCTTGAAGCATTCCAACCGAACCGGTTTTTTTTTCTCTCGGCTAGTTTAATATCAGGTTGTGTGTAAACGATTTTTTTTTACAAGCAATTTGTATTTCATTATTCTTCTTCAATCGTGGGACTATTCCTTTGGTAAAAGGTGAAGATTTGTACACAATGACTATCCATAGTAATTAATTTAGCCGTGTTATTAAATATTTCCTATTATTAAAAAATATTTCTGTTTCCATTTTTATTTTACATTTCACTGTATTAAAAAAAATTGTTCTCGCAATATTAAAAAAAAAACGAATTGATCTTTCCAAAATACGACAGTAGTAAAAGAAAATGGATTTTTTTTTCTAAGTAAATAAATATTTCGCTATATTTAAAAAAAAAAAAAAAACTAATTGATTTTTCCATATTCGAATATATATCACAGTGGTAAAAAAAAGCTATTTTTTCCCGTTACAAAATATTTTGCAATAGAAAGAATAAAACATCTCTATAACATAATACAGCAATCGGGACAATGCCTTGCAGAAGTATATCTCTTTCAAAAAGACTCTAGATAGCCCGTATAGTTTTGCCAAATATGTTGATTACATTGTCCATCTGTAGCTAATTAGCCACCGTGTCGATCAACTGTATCACACTTATTTAAATCACTTAATGCAGGAATATCCGTATTATATCTTCCTAATCTACAGACTTTGCTAGAATGGTGGTTTCCTGTGTGCGATTTTAATCCTTTCGCGGGCCACAATCGCACCCCCGGGGAGTTCGTATTCTGGTGTGTTCGTATCCCGAGGTGTTCGTATTCTGAAGCCTTCGTATCCCATGGAGCTAGCAACACTGAACTTGTTAAAATTTTCACGTTATAATCGGGTCCTAATACTAAAAAAAAGTATCGGGGTAAAAAGAGTTTTAAGCCATTGAGTAAAGATAAGGGGCGGTAAGTCTTTTAATGAGTGAGAGGGATGTTTAGTGATGTTGGCGTGTGTGGATACGGGTTTAGGAGGATGTGCTGGTTGGATTTAAAGGATGGGCAATGGTAGAGTGATAAGGGTGCGACAGATTTAATGGTAATCTCAACGGCGCCTTTTTAATGGAAAGAAAAATGCTGTTTACTCACACCTTAAATAAATGGGCAAGGCATACGATACTTAATAGTGATTTGATTCTCAAACGATGATTGGTCCCATTTGGCCGTTTTGCAACTACTTTTAGCTCGTTGATGGGCTGTCTATTTTTTTGTAGTGTTTTTTTTTTTAAAAGAAAAAAACAGGTTAAGGATACCTAACGTGATCATGATCATGTTACTATTCGACCTACGGTGACGGCAATACACAGGTAAGCCAGGTACTCCTCACAACTGGATGGACCCGAACTATAGACCCTTAGGTATAAGACGAACGCTATAAGATTCGACCACGCTATCCGTTTGAAGATTACGGTACCCGAACTCGAGACCCTTAGGTTAGCAGACGAAAGATCTAACATTCGATAAAGCTATCCGAATGCAGCTTAAGATAACTCAGCAATTTTTTTTTCACAATATTTCAAACACTCGTTTAGTAGGGGACCATACCCAAGGAACACCAAGCAATAGAAAGGTCATCCATTTAGATTGCTTCCACCAGACAATACAATAAACGTCGCCATATTTTAAACTTAGCACCCAACTACGGAAGTCTAAAAATAGATCTCGCGCTACGCAAATCCCGCGATCGCTTTAGCCCGGGCTGTCATTATCAAGATGGTGGCCGTCAACTGAAGCGCTTAAACGGCCAATAAGCAGATGGACCCGTTTCCGTTGGTCCGGCGTCCTGGACGTAATTATGCATCCAAATGACCACATTTGTGGGCAGGCTGCGACTAATTTAAGCCGCCGGACCAGGAAGAGTGGACCCTGGTATCGTTAGTGCCCGCGGTAGTTTGGCCCAGGCTAGACAAACACTTTATTAATAGTCCACATCGTTAGGGCTGGGGGTCCGTGACTGCCCCGCGGTCAGGATTGAAAAATCGTTACGCTGACCGGAAGTAAGGCTGGCTATTTTTTTTTTATTAGTGACCAAAGCTAATACTGAACCTAATTGCTGAAATTTTAATAATTGTTTTTCTCTCTCTCAGCTAAAAGTCATCGACGGTTTAATTATTCTCGTAAAATGCAGGGGAAATATCAATTTTCAAGCATAACATATTTTAAAATCAAATTCAGCCCTATGAAATAAATAGAGATGCTATCCGGATATGGATGGCAGCTTAGTAAAACGGTGTATTCCATAACTTATCCAAAAGTTTTAAGCTCGGATTCCGGATAAAAGTCTGTGGAACTTCCCGGAGTTCTTCAGCTAAGAAAACCAAACAGGCTGAGTATTTTGCCGAATTTACTATCCTTTCATTGGCCGAACTCATTGAAATGGATTAACTCTACTTTATTTGCACCATGTTTCTTACAGAAAATGATGTTGATGACGGTATAAGTGTAAAATATTTTAATGCGCTAATCTATTACAAAAAAATATAAATCAATATCAGTCAAACCATTTTTTTTCCAATTTAATATTTATGGTATTTTCATATATATATATATATATATATATATATATATATATATATATATATATATATATATATATATACCGTATACACCAAGTCAATGTCAAATTGTTTTTATACAATTTGTCCTACCATCTAGAAAATGTAAACTTCCAAGTCTAGCTCCGTTTATGATCGCAATGTGTACTATTGGAGAACGATTTTCTTTATCCTGCATTGCTCTAGAGATACACAGATCCTCTCATATTTTATTCAATGTACTCCCCTCACCCCGAGTTTTTTTTTTTTATAAAGCTGTTCACAATACTCAGCATACTTCATCTCGTTTCGCCAAACGATTTTTTTTTCGCCAACCGGATCCGGTTAGTGATTGGTTAGCGTTTAACTGTGTGCTTTATCGATCAATGGTCGATTTGCTTAATCCTTAACTTTGTCTAATCCCCTTGGATTAAAACACCATATTTACTCGCTTATCTTTCAGATACAACGATCTGGAAAGCGTATTTGAAAAGATATTCTATTTTTTAAACTCTTTATCTTCCCGGTAGGATAATCACTTTGACTTCTAGTACGACACACACGTTTTTTTCCGTTGGAATAAATTTTCATAAAAAAATGAGTGTGTTGGACTTATAGATACCTAATGGTATTCAATAGTAATAATAGTATGGAAAATGTCATACGCTTCAGCAATACAATGGAGGCTAAATTGAAATTTTAACAAAACGTTGTGTTAGTTTAAAATGACGGGAAAAAAGACGGAAGTTGAGGGGGGGGGGATGACGTCATAAAACCAAGAAAGAATAGATATCAAGACTTGTATGACCATGTGTGAAGATGGGGAGAGGGTCAAGAAATGTACTCTCTGGCTGCAAAGGCGAGGATCAATTTCGGCGACTAGGGTTTTAAAAATAGAGCGACATGAGTTATGATCCCTTTCCCCAACTTTGATCTTGTATATAAGGAAAATGTAGTTTCTGTTTTAATTGTGTAAATGACCGAAATCAATTCCCAAAAAAATGAATTCGTGCATCAGTATGGAAGAGAGCGGCCAATTGGTAGAGTTCATACCTAGTGACACCAAGTGTGGAGGTTGATGCTGATTAGTAACGATGTTTATATAGAATCTACTTTATCAGGATACTTGTACTTTGTTACAAACATGCTAGTTAGAAGAGCTACTCATCAGAATTTGAAATCATTTCTTCGGGTTTAATAAAGGGTGTGTATAAATAAAATTAATAGCCTTCTTCTTTCATTATCGTAGACCTTATCAGACTAATCGGTAACCATATATACAAATATATATATATATATATATATATATATATATATATATATCAGTATAATAGCTACAGTTTTTCTTTGGAGTAAAATATACTATTTTTTTCTGAAAGGCGTAAGATAGGGGTGTGTGTGAAACTAATAAGGGGGTGACAAGACATTAAAAATCATAAAATAACAATTATTCAGTTAAAGTATTATATAGTAGATGTGAAGGGTGACACCAAAACCGAAAATGCAAAATGTTTGGAGGGGGCGAGGTGACACCCTCATCGATCGCACTGGGTGACACCCAAGCTAATGACGGCACTGTGTATAGTTTTAAAGCACGTTGTTTTGGTAAATTAAAATTGGGGTTATTGATCATAATCAACTTAGAAAAATAATGATAGAAAAAAGTAAATAGTAAAAAGAGGTAAAATAAAATATTTACATCTCTGACTGAAATAAATAATCAATAACAAAGTATAGAAGATAAGCTTGTCTAATAGGAAGCAAAAGAAAATATTTGCGGTAAGTTCTAAAAGTTGAACTTGTCTGATAGAAATAAAAAAGAAAATAATGTATGTCCTTTATAGAAGTTAAACTGGTAGAAAACCAAAGATAATATGTACGAGAAGGTATAAAAGTTACTTAAAACTTACTTGTCGTAGTCATGTTTGCAGTACAACTTCCGGTCACGTGAGAAACAGGAACCTGTAAGCGGGACCCTGCACAGGGCACACTGCAGGCAGGCCTCGTGCCACGAATCGTCCATGACCTTGAGCAGGTACCTGTCCTCGATGGGGGCGTGGCATCCGGTACAGAGTTCCTTGGACGTGGTCTGTGTGGGCATCGTACCTGCATAGGTGAGAGGCACAGGTGAGAGAGTGGGCTTTTTTCTCCGGGAGGGCACTTGAAATTTTCGGGGGGGGGGGGCGGTCAACATTTTCAGGGGGGGGGGGGCGGACACTAGTAAAAGTGTATGTTTACTATATTAGTATATAAAATCCATCTCGTTCGGGGGGTGGGCGATAGACTTACTTCGGGGAGGGGGGTGCGGAGCCGAAGAGATGGCTGGAAGAAACTCTGGATATCCGTTTCAGATGACCTCGCATACGAAGGGATAGTGTGGTCAGCACTATGCATCGCCGCCATTACTTTATTAGAGCTGGGTGGTCTCAGGGACATTCTACTGACTTCATCACGGATTCGAAGCTCGAACTTCCGGGTTAGCAGTCTAGATCTCTACCACTTGGCCACGCTGTCCCATGCAAAGCAATCATACTGGCAAACTAGTCTCTGCTTTAGGCTGCTCGGAATATATCATTCACTCATATTTGCATAACATCATGCGGTTTTAACTTCAGTATGCCCTTCAGTCATATTCTCGCAAATACTTGAATATATTATACGGTCATATTTGCATTATATTAAACAGTAGTGATTTCATAATGCCCTGCAGTCATACTTGCAAAATATAATGTAGTCATATTTGCATAAAATCAAGCAAAAATATTCCCATAATTATACGTGAAGTATTATGACATATTTGTACTACAGCCAAGCATGCATGTAAACCTTCGCTCATACTTGTATAATGTCTTGAAGCTACTAAGCACTACAATACTATTAGGCTTATACTTATTTTACTTTTACATTTTGTGTTTACAAAAATGAAAATAAAAAGCATTTTTTTTTTTAAAAAAAAAAAAGGAAAAATAACCTAAAATCTGTACTTTTTAAAAAATATTATAAAAGCATGCATGTAAGCATTTGCTCATATTTGTATAATATCTTGAAGTTTTGCAACTTTGTCCGTATGTCTCTGTGTGTAGATGTATGTGTGTGTCTGAATAAACAGACATACGGACAAAATTGCAAAATAATGTTTTTCCGACTCGGGGGGGGGGGGGGGGGGGGGGGGGGGAGTTGTAAACAATACTTCCTCTATACTTCGGATAAAAAATAAGTTATGATCTAAAATCTTTTTTTTTAAAACCTTTTTTTTAAGTGCGTTGTACTCTGCAGCAGTTGTAAAAGGTAGATTTTTTTAAGATTCTGCATTTTTTTTTGTCTTGGACGTAGAGTTCCTAGCGTCAGTTTTATTGTTTGCTGTTAAAATACTGTATTCTTTATTTTGTAAGGTTTAACAATGTATTGAACGGGTATCATATGGTGCTGACACAGCCCTCGGCTGCTAAATCTGCTAAAGTTGTTTGATCAGGTTTATTCCAGATTTTTTTTTTTTTTTTTTTTTTTTTTTGAGGTTTACACTTGAAATTAGCAATAAAAAAAGTATTGAAAGAAAATGAAATGCAAAAATTTCTTATGCATTATTTTAAAATTCAGTTTCTTTCATATTAAATTTTTTATCTAATTTTCAAGCATGTCCTATAACTTTTTTTCTAAAATATGTTCAAATACTAGTTCCATTATCTGCCATTTTTTTAAAACTACCTTCCCCAGCCTCGTATTCAAACCACGTGAAGCAGACACGAGCCGGCTGGTTGTGTCATGCGCAGTGCCTCCGGGGCGCAGCTCCGCCATTATTACCCAACCCACAAAGGCGACGTCGCGCGCTCACGTGCTTCAAGCCTCCTTGTGACACCGATTTTTTTATTAGGCTCTTCAGAGGCTGAGAGAGTCATCGAAATTTCGTTATTGATATCTGCATATTACGTGCGACCTACAAGCGTGACACTACAGCCCTTGGTGCGGAGTTGGAGTAGTTTTTTTAATAGAAGGACATTGGACGAATTAACCGACAATACAGTTTTTTTAAGGATGTATAGAGTTCGTTGCTTTTCACCATAAGGGTTCGTGGTTAGCGTTAGGGCGGTGTTTCTAGAATTACCCGAAATATGAGTTAAGTTAAAAGTGCAGTGTATAGGAAAAAATATTGAGATGAAGGTTTTTTTTTAATTTTTTTTTTAAATATAAATTTTAATTTCATGGATGGTGGGTTAAAAGTGGCTTTTCTCAAAACACGTGACGGTGGTTTTAACGGTACTGGTCTCAGATGGTCATTCTAACTTAACGTTTTTAAAGGGATTTTTTTTTTTTGGGGGGGGGGGGGGGGGTTAGTATTGCGTGATTGGGGTAGTAATTTTAGCTTCATAAACTGGGTAAATAATCTAGCATTAGCAGTTTAGAGCGTTCTTTCTAGCATTACGGGCTAGGGGTGGAAAATCTATTTTCACCTGTATATGGTGGTTAGTCAAGATTAAATTGTTAAAAAAATGGTAATTTCAGATTTGACAGTAGATAGTGGCCAGTCGAAAGTAAAGTATTTGTTCCCTTTTTTTAACCTAACGGTCCAAATGGCAAGTGAAGTAGAGTTCACTTGTTTCGGTGACCTCGGCATATGAATAAATAGTGTGGTCAGTACTATGCTCAACCGGACTCTACTTTCCCTACCGTGAGTTAGGTAGCGATCAATCTGGATGAAATTTGAGACGTTCTACTAACTTTAACCTGTATTCGGACTCGAGACTTTCGGGTTAGCAGTCTAGCGCTCTACCACTAGGCCACGCTATTCCAATCATGCTTGACCTAAAATACCACCATACAAAAATTGCCACTATTTAGATGTAGAGGTATTCGAAGTAGAAATATCACTTGTATATAGAAATACCACTTAAAAAAGGGGGTCATTCTAGTTTGAACAGGCTAGAGTTGCCGATCAAGCATCACATGACATAAGTGGTCATTTGAGTTTGACCACTCTAAATAGAAACCCCTGTCCCACTGACTATGCCATAATGCTTCTACATGTCTGAAAGTTTGAAACGGGCCTCCCAAAGCAGGGCTTGTGATATGTGATGATTTAATTAAGCTTATATGTGTTATGAATGCGTTTTATAAAAAAAAATGGTGAGGTAAATCAGATCACCCAAGGAGCAGGTCAAGCAGAGTTAATGTGTTTTTTTTCTGTAACTACAATACCAAATATCCATTTTATTGAAAGTTTTTATAACAATACCTATCACTAACGTAAACATAACCTTCATCAAAACTGTAACATTAATATGAAACAAACTCTGAACATTTTATCTATTTGAAACTTCAACACGCCCTATTAGGGCTTTTAAGTCTAGCTGGCAAGTACGAGAAGTTGTGACCTACTTACAAGCCCTATTACATCTACACTCTAAACCTAACCTATCCTAATCCCTTCTTTCCATAACCATCGCTCAAACTACAATATTACTTGTACATAGCTTTTAAAACAAACTTTACAAGTCAACGATGCTGAAATCCCACACACTGTTTCTTCCAGACTTTTTTCTCCGGGAGGGCACTTGAAATTTTCGGGGAAGGGGGGGGGGTGCGGTAGACTTTCTTCGTGGGGGGGGGGGGGAGACAATGTTAAAAGTATATTTTTTCTAGATAAATTTCATTTGGTTCTCTCCCCCCCCCCCCCCCCCCCCCCGAAGAGATGCCTGAAAGAAACTCTGATCCCACAGTAATCCACCAGACTTATTCCAACACATTTTGTACAAACCCCTACAACACCTATCTCTAAACCCGGACCAACCGTACCCTCAACATCCCACATCTTACCACGTCACAACAACAGCAGCAAAAAAAAAGCTTTAGAAAGTAATAATAAATAAAACTACAAATGACACATCCGATAGTTGAATAAACGTTTTTTTTTATATCGCAATTGTATCGCCGCAGGGGGAGGTAACTCTAATGAAACTGCGGCCACGTGCAGACGATCGCTTGACGTTAGGTGGCGCAAAACGCAATAATAGAAATCTCCGTCCCCCGGGCCGCAAGAGGGCGGGCTTTGTTTTCGCGGAGGAGGGGAAAAAATATACTAATTAGTGCGGTGAGATTGATAATATGGTATTATAACGAGCGCTTAATTACAATCTCGAACGGGTGTAAAGTGGCCCCTGAAGATGGCGGCGGGTGAGGGAGGTTTAGGTGTTGCATGTAGTGCTGGTTTAGCGGTGATATCGTAGTAAAATAGGCAGGGCAAGTTTAAATAGTCCGTTGAATTATAATAGGTTAATTATGTGTTTTTTTTTTTTAAATCAAGAACTTAATTAGAGAGTGTTTGACATTCATCAATATTTTGTAATTTTTTTTCTTCTAAAATTGCACTTTTACTCTAAATTCATTCCAGCTTTAATCCACTTAATATTCCAATTCTAAACCATTTAATATTTTTTAAATTTATTCCGCCTAATATTCCATCTCTAAACCAACTAACAACGCAAAATCACTCCTCCCCCCCCCCCCCCCCCCCGATATTCTTCAACATTCATTAAATTATTTTTTATTTTTAAAATTGCACGAAAAATCCCATTTTTACTTCTATTCCAACTTTAATCCACCACTAACTCCAACATTAATACGCTTAACATTTCACATTTACTTGACCTGATAATCTGGGTTTAGTTCACCAAAAATTTAATTCACCAAATAGTTCACATTTACTTTACCTGATGCTCCACCTATCCCCCACCTACTACCCTGATATCTTAACCCCATCCCACCTGATATTTTAACTCCACCTCACCTGATATTTTAACGCCACATGATGATTTAACTCCACCCACTTGATATTTTAACCCCACCCCCACCTGATATTTTAACTCCACCTCACCTGATATTTTAACGCCACCTGATATTTTAACTCCACCCACTTGATATTTCAACCCCACCCCCACCTGATATTTTAATCCCACCCCACCTTATATTTTAACTCCACCCACCTGATATTTTAACCCCACCCACACCTGATATTTTAACCCCACCTGATATTTTAACTCCACCCCACCTGATATCTTAACCCTACCCCACCTGATATTTTAACCCCACCCACCTAACATTTAACTCCACCC